CTGGCGCTGAAACCTGCGGGGAGCTCCCCCCTCGGGCTGCACCCCACCGCCGGGCCCCCAGCACGGGTCTCGCCCCCCGCTCTGTGTGGTGCCCAGGGGCACGGGAGGGGGGTGGAGCTGGGCACCGATTGCGGAAACCACCAGGAGTATCAGCCCGGCCCCGAGCAGTGTCCTTTGTCCGTCTAAATGACGGGTCACCAGCCAGTAGCTCAGGATCTACCTTAGAGCTTGGTGATACTGATTGGGAGGCTAGCAGGAGCCAGCACTTGAAATGTCCTTCCCCCCCTGTCCTGCTGCTCTTGCCCAGCACCAAAAAGCTGCCCTCTGGGATCCTCTTGCTTGTTGTGCAGGGTGGGAGGAGACAGAGGTAAGGGGTGCTGATGTCACGCTTTGAAGATGGGATATATAGGAGGGCAAAGCCTCAGTGAAGGGCTGGGGCAGGGCTTTGGCAAAGGAACAGGGCAGGGGTATTTGAGTCTGAGGTAGATCCTCAACTGACTTAAATTAAAAAAACTTTTAAAACTATGAATAGTCAGGTATCATCTTAAAGACTAACAAAACCTGTAGAGGAGCTTCATGAGGTAGCCAAGTTAATCTGATACAGGAAAAAAACAGCAAGCAAATGGCCTGGTAGCACTTCATAGGCTAACAAAACATGTAGATGGTACCATGTGCTTTCGTGGGCAAAACCCACTTGTTTTGTTAGTCTTTAAGGTGCTACTAGACTATTTGTTGTTTTTTTATATTTTTCCTGTTACAGACTAACTTGGCTACCTCTCTGAGGTTATGTCTAGATTGCATCCCTCTGTCCATAGAGGGATGCAAATCAAGCACTTCGAAATTGCTAATGAAGCCGGGATTTAAATATCCTGTGCCTCATTAGTATAAACATGGCTGCCGCTTTTTTCTGAAAGGGAGTTTTTTGTTTTTTTAAAAAGGCAGTTTAGATGCGGATCTGTTGAAAATAAAGTCTGGTTTACAGGATCTGTCAAAAAAGGCTTTATTTTTGACAGAGCCGCGTCTAGACTGCCATTTAAAAAAACAAAAACCTCTCTTTCAGAAAAAAGCGGCAGCCATGTTTATGCTAATGAGGCCCAGGATATTTAAATCTCGGTTTCATTAGCAATTACGATGTGCCTAATCTATATCTTTCTGTCCACAGAGAGGTGTAGTCTAGACACACCCTAAGTTTTTAAATTCAAAAAGTGATGTTGTGTTGAAAAAGGTTGGACACCACAGACTTAAATATCCCTTGCAAATGCCCAAATAGTCCCTGCACCCCACACATGTTGCTGCACATGGTCAGGAGGCCACATCTCCACTTGCCAAGCCAGAGACTGATCTTCTGGTGTTTGATTTAGTGGGTCTAGTTCAGGATACTGGTGGAGGGAGGGGGCCAAGTGAGAACTTTTAGAATCATAGTACCATATAATCATAGAATCCAATGGTTAGAAGAGACCTCAGGAGGTCATGAAGTCCAGCCCCTTGCCTGAAGCAGGACCAGCCCTAACTAAATCATCCCAGCCAGGACTTTGTCAATCTGGGAATTAAAATCCTTTTAGGGATGGAGATTCTACCACCTCCCTAGGTGACCCATTCCAGTATTTCACCACCCTTCTAGGGCAACAGTTTTCTTAATATCCAACCTAAACTTCCCCCCACTGTAACTTGAGACCATCTCTCCTTGTTCTGCCATCTGTCACCACTGAGCACATCTTTGCTCTATTTTTTCTGTAACCTCCCTTCAGGATGTTGAAGGCTGCTATCAAATCCTCCCACATTCTTCTCTTCTTCAGACTACATAAGCCCAAAACCCTCAGCCTCTCCTAGTAGGTCATGTGCTCCATCCCCCTAATCATTTTGGTTGCCCTCTGGAGGACCCTCTCCAGTGCATCCACATCCTTTCTATAGTGAGGGGTCCAGAACAGCACACAATATTCCAGATGTGGGCTCACCAGAGCCGAATGAAGGGGAATAATTACTTCTCTAGATCTGTTGGCAGTGCTCTTTCTAATTCATCCCAATATGCCATTAGCTTTCTTGGCTATAAGGGCACACTGTTGACTGACTCATATCCAGCTTCACATCCACTGTAATTCCCAGGTTCTTTTCTGCTGAACTGCTACCTTAGCCAGTCGGTCCCCTGCCTGTAACAGTGTTTGGGATGCTTCCGTCCCAAGTGCAGGGGTCTGCACTTTTCCTTGTTGAACCTCTTCGGATTTCTTTTGGCCCAATCCGCCAATTTGCTTAGGTCACTCTGGACCCTATCCCTGCCCTCCACTGTATCTATCGCTCCCCCTAGCATAGTATCATCTGCAAACTTGCTGGGGTTGCAATCCATTCCCTCATCCAGGTCATTAATAAAGATGTTGAACAAAACCAGCCTTAGAACAGATTCCTGGGGCACTCTACTTGAAACTATCCTCCACTCAAACATCAAGCTGTTGATCACTACCCATTGAGCCCGACAATTTAGCCAACTTTCCAGCCACTGTAAAGTCGTCCATTTATCCAATCCATACTTCCTTAACTTGCTTGCAAGAATATTGTGGGAGACCATATCAAAAGCTCTACTAAAGTCAAGGTATATCATATCCACTGACTTCCCCATGTCCACAGAGCCAGTTACCTCGCCATAGAAGCTAATCAGATTTTTCAGGCATGACTTACCCTTGGTGAATCCATGTTGACTATTCCTGATCACTTTCCCCTCTTCCAAGTTTCTCAAAATGGATTCTTTGAGGATCCCCTCGACTTTTCGAGGGACTGAGGTGAGTATGACTGGTCTGTAGTTCCCTCCATTGTCCTTCTTCCCTTTTTTTAAAGATGGGCACTACATTTGCCTTTTTCCAATCACAGAATCATACAACACTAGAACTGAAAGGGACCTTGAGAGGTCATCGAGTCCAGTCCCCTACCCTCACAGCAGGACCAAGCATCATCTCCAGACCATCTTTGACAGGTATCTATCTAACCTGCTCTTAAATATCTCCAAAGATGGAGATTCCACAACCCCCCTAGGCAATGTATTCCAGTGTTTCACCACCCTGACAGGTAGAAAGTTTTTCCTAATGTCCAACCTAAACCTCCCTTGTTGCAGTTTAAGCCCATTGCTTTTTGTCCTACCATCAGAGGCCAAGGAGAACAATTTTTCTCCCTCCTCATGACACCCTTTTAGCTACTGGGACCTCTCCTGATCTCCACAAGTTTTCAAAGATAATGGCCAAAGGCTCTGTAATGACATTTGCCAACTCCTTCAGTACCCTCAGATCCATTAAATCTGGACCCATGGATTTATGTATGTCTAACTTTTCTAAATGGTTTGTAACCTGTTCTTTCTCCACCGACGGCTACCCACCTCCTTCCCATACTGTGTTGCCTAGTGCAGAAGTCTGGACCTTGACCTTGTCTGTGAAGACAGAGGCAAAAAAAGCATTGAGTACTTCAGCGTTTCCCACCTCAACAGTAGGTCACCTCTCTCATCTAGCTCGGGGACAAAGGCAGCAGGAGCCAGCTCCCTCTGAGCACCGGCTCCCAAGGAGCTGCCTTCCCGACTTCATGTGAATTTTTCAGCGGGTGCACCTTTACCAAGATAAACTAATTTGAATATCCCTAGTAGCAACCCAATTCTGAACCACAGCCTCCAGAGATCAACTGCTTTGGGTGCCCAAAAGTAAACGAAACTGAGTTCAAGTGGCTTATTTTAGAAACTTACACTAGGACTTTTTCAGGTTTACCTGAGCTGCCTGCAGCTGAATCACTGCCATCTGCTCGCAGCAGGAAGGAGCCCCATTTGTGGTGCAGCAGGGGACACTCCCAACACAGGTGCTCTGCTCTAGGCAACCCAAGTTTCATTTTTTCCCTTGGCAGGCTACCAAAGCAGCATGAGAGAATTTGCTACACTTATCTTCTGCACACCTGCAATGCCCACCAATCCCATCTCCATGGAAACTGTACTCCAGTTCATCACTATAGCGTAGTTGAACATGCTCTTTAGTATAAGGCACTCAAATGGTGTTAAACTTTAATTTGCTGTTGAAGATTAAGATTCAAAATAAAGGCGAGTAAAAGAGTTTGGAAACATTAGGTTATTACAGTAACCCTTCTCCACATAAGATGGAAACTATAGCCTATAATTAATAAGTTACTGTCCAATCCAAGAAAGTATTACTTACCCAATGGTTAAACCTTCCTGTGCTTGTCTAGCACAGAAAGATGAGATCTACTTTTCATGACACACCCCTGTTGACAGAGCAGTCTGTCCTATCATGGATTCTTTGGCCATTTTTTCTGCTCTTACACAGTCATAAACTATTGTCCGTTAGCTCAAGGAGTCCAGCTATTCAGAGTTTCCTGAAGGTCATTTTTCCTTGAGTATGTTAAAGGTTGCATCTTCCCCAGGCACTAAATGTAAGCTGGCTTTAGGGATGCTCAGTGTTATGTTCCTTGTATCACCTCTCCGACTCCTGTCCTCGGGTGATTGGTTTTACTCCTAACAAACAGATTTAGAACGTAACATATACATTCCATAACTCTCAAACTTCTTCCTGTACAGACATCTCAGAATAACCATGACAACCAGCTAGTTCTTACCTTTCAGCAAAGATTACACACAACTCCTATCACGTAACTGGATTTTAAAGGGAGCAGCCAGATCATTGCTGCACCCACAGGGTGGGGAAGTGTTTGCCCCAAAGACTGTACAAAGGGGGCTGTGTGAGGTTCTCCTTAACAACCCTACTCTCATTCTTTTCTTTCTTTTAGTAATAAATCTTTAGATTTGAAATTCTAAAGGATTGGCCCAATGTACTCTTGTGGGTAAGATCCAAAGTGTAAATTGACCGGGTATTTGTGGCTGGTTCTTTGGGACTGGAAAGACCCGTTCGGGGTAGGTGAAATTGGGTTCTATGAACCCTCACCTGTGTGCAGGACCAGGGCTGATTGTGGCACAGGGAGAGCTAGGCTGTCAAGAGTGCTTTTGCTTGTGAGGCTTTCAGCAGCTGAAGCACTTGGTGTGACTGGTTTGTGGCCTATTTAGGAAGGGCCTCTAGTCAGGGGCTGTACGGCGCCCTGTTTTTGAGCAGTTCGCCCTGAGCGGATGCCTTCAGCGGTGCCCAGACCTGACCTGGTCTGTCACAACCCCCTTCAGGGTACTATCAAGGAAAAGATAGGACACAGATATAATAGATCCCTCAGGACATGCTTATACATGTCTGTGTCACGTGCATCACGTTTTTGGAAGATTTCTCCCCTTACATGTGAGACAGGTTAGTGTTATTCTGAACAGGGTCGGGAGTATAGCAGGGGTGGACAATAATTTTGGATGGGGAGCCACTCTAAGAATTTGTAAAGCGGTCAAGGACTGCACTCTTCCATGATATTAATGGAGGAGGTACAGGGTCTGGGATGGAGGTTGGGTGCAGAAGGAGCTTGGGATAAGAGAGGGAATTAGGGCTTGGATTGTGACCTAGGGCAGGGAATTAAGGAACAGAGGAGATGCAGGTTGTGAGCTATGGTAGAGCTTTTGAGAGAGTTATTTTAAATAAAAGTAAAAAAAATCTGTGGGACTGTGATCTGGGGTAGAGGACTGGGGTGCCGGATCTGAAAAGGGATATGGGTACAGGAGAAGTCAGAGGATTTGGGTATGTGGGAGGGACTTGGGTGCTAGAGGTAGGTTCTGCCAGACTTACTAGCCAGCAGTGGATCCTGAATATGCTGCCCTTCCCTGCCCCCGCCTGCAGCCATGTGCTCTGGAGCCCCTTGTGCTTATTAAAACAGGCAGCTCCCATTGGCCAGTTTCTGGCCAGAAACCGGCCAATGGGATTGTGCTGGGGGCAGAAGCAACTCCTAAAGCTTCCCCACTCCCCTCTGGACTTTGTTTTTAAAAAGAAACTACCCCATAGCTGCATTTCTGAGTGGCGTCTGGGTGGGGCGAGGCAAGCAGAGAGCCTGCCTGGGGTTCCCTGCGGCATCCACAGGCCAGATCTGGTGGCTTGGCATGTCGGATCCAGCCCATGGGCCATATTTTGCCCATGCCTGATCTATGGATATGCTTTGAAAACCATCCACATCTCAAAGATTTGGTACGTGAAGATAGAAACACTTTCCCAGGTGTGAGTTAGTACGTTAGATTTTACTGTTGTGAAAAATAAATATTCGAAGAGGGTACATGCAACAGTGCTACTTCCTGCAAAATTAGGACCACAGTGCGGTATCTTATCTTATCATGGTAACTAGGACATTATTCCATAAAGAGTCCTACTGCAGTTAATGGACTACTTATGGATAAGGATGCAAGGTGCTTTATACTTTGAATAATATTATCTGATTATTGGCCCTAAATAAGTTAACATACGTACGTGAGGTGAAGAAAAAAATATTGTAGAGGTCTACAGCAACTCATACATAAAATAATTATTTAAATCATTGTTGTTATTATATGTGTACATCAACCTCAAAGGAAGACTCACTAGGTAGCATTCTTTTTATCTTAAATCTTTTCTGAAACAAGCTTCAGAGATTGTACACATGACTATATTTGGCCAATTTAAATTAGTTGAAACTGACAGCATTTTTCTACCCTCTTTCCCACTAAAGACATGATGATAGGAGAGCAGCATAAAAGAGTAAGTTCTGTAGTTTTCAACTGTTTCTATGGGTCTTCTGTAGAGATTTTAACACATATTTGTGTTGTTTTATGTTGGACTCTGTTACATGTTACCTTCACAACTGCACTCTGCTTGAAAGATAAGCTCTTTGGCTGAATTTTATTACGCATTACAATGTAAGGCATGCTACTGACACTACATGAAGTTTATATAAATATTTTAAACAAATCACTGTTAACACTTAAGTTACTTGTATCCATGCTGCTTGGTAGAATGAGGATCTATTTTTCTGGGTCCTCTTCCTTTTTCTTGTGATGTGATCAGAAGAGGTTTTTAGTCAGAGGCTGGAGGTTTGTACCAGTGATTCCATTTAGCGCCTCAAGAATTTGTTTTTCCTTTTGATACATCTATGAGAGTGGTGGGCAAAAAAATCAGTAAGTATGCTCATTTTCCCTTCATGTACAAAATTTATCATTTTAAGCATTAGACACTAAAGTGCTGTTCTAATCTGAAAAATAAAGACTACATAAAAATGGCAAATTTTTGCTCAACGGATCTGCTCATCTGTGAATTAAAAGTCGTATCAGATGTGTTATGGACAAAAGTAACTATGGTGCTAATACAGTTAAGATAGTACAAAAACCGGATTCTCTTCATGCAACTGGATTGCATCGATGTCATGTAGGACATAATTTCACTGGCAGAAAATAAAGTACTGCTTATGACCGAGTGAGAGAGCCCAACTTAATAAGTCTCCAGTGCTGGCGGGTAGGAAACCATGTCTTTTCTTGACCTCTACCCAGACAGCTGATACAGAATCAGTGAGACACAGTACATGTAGAATGGATAAACATTTATGGGATTGGGTTTTTAGACTGTCCTTACACAGACCCTTTCAGTCAAGGATTTCAAACCTCGTCTAGTGCTCAGACCTTCCAGATATACAGTACCCTTTTGCACTGCTGACTGTCTGTAGCTCCCACTGATTGCACTCACATCTAGCTGTGATTCATTAAGAAAACTGGAGATATGCTTGCAGGCATGCTACTTGTGCCTATGATCTTATCACGTCTCTCAAACCAGGCTAGGTTGAGGTTGGTCAGTCGTCATATGAAACCAAAGGAAACCCAGGCAGTCACAGCTGCTTCTGCTGCAACAGGCAATTGTTCCCTCTGAGTAAATATCGAACTAATCCCCAACCTGGAGTTAGGGCACTGGGCGGTTGGAGGACCCAATTTTCAGAAAAGAGGACTAGATGGTCGTTAAGCATCTCGAAAGGATTTTTCCACAAGAAAAATATTACTCCTGATGTTCTGGCAAGATTGCAATGTGGTTATATACACCTGCTTTTGGAGTTAGTATACATATTTCAGTAGTAAGAAGAGGGAACTGGCCTACCTAGGTTCTGTTCTCCACTCTAAGTAGTCCTGTGTGGGAATGTGCACAAATAGTTAAAACTCTTTGTCTCAGTTTTTACATCTGAGAGAGGAGGATAACACCTTTGAGATGCTTTGATGGAAGGCTATATGTAATAGCACAGGATTATTTTCTAAAATTCTATCTATTGTTTCAATTAGATATTTTTAAACCATGTCCTTTCCTAAAGTATTGTAGCCTTGCAGAGTTGATTATTGCCCCCACGGAGGCACAGTTTGTCTCCACAGTGAAAGCTGAAAGTGTTCATACTTACCCCTGTTTATGAACCTGTTTTAATTTTCAACATGTAGTTCTTGAAAGGCACTATTGCAACGTTGCACTATTACTTTCATGGTCTGAATGTGTGTATGATGAAGATCTGAATGTGTGTATGAATGACTGGCTGCAAAGTGCTCCTGAGAGCACCAGGATTACAAGGTTATACCATAATATGTATCAATAATCAGGAAAATGTCTCTGCTTTTACAAGAAGGTTTTGATTTGATATACCATCACTGATGTAATTTGGGCATTTTTAATATATCTATCTCAGCTTTGTCAAGGACACCCTTTTACCTGCTTCCACTCTGCTTCTGTGTTGTGCTGGTATCCCAGCAAATGGCATAGCCCATGAGCTGCAGTCACCTGTCCAAAGAAACAAATGGATGTATTATTTTATAAATCTCTAAATATTTATACATGTGTGCATCACTACAGTATATAGGTGCTGTCTTGTAATATTTAGCATAGCTCTTCTCTAATAAAGTGTATCACTTTTACTAGACAGCACACCAAGATCAGTCATCTAAAGCACACAGAGTATTCCTGTAGCAAATGCACTAGTACTAAATAGGTAAAATAACTTCGACTCCTATGAGAGACCCGTATTTATGCATCCAATATTACATTAGTCCTTTTGCCAGTGTCACACTAGCAGTTGATGTTAAAATCACTAACCCCCAAGCTCCCTATCTTTTTTTAAAGTCACTGCTTTGCCAGACAGAGTCCTTTACTTCATAAACATAACCAAAATTCTTTGTCCTTGGATAATTTTACTCCTGAATTTAGCAAAAATTAATGATGTGCATGCAGAATTTCCTTTCCTTGACAGAAACTTCCTGCAATGCTGCTGTTTGCCACTAGAGGCTGCTGCAACAGACAAAGCCCAACTCACATTTAGAGGCTTCAGGGGGTAGCCAGTTAATCTGTGCAGGAGCAGGTCTCTCCCTGACCAGGGCAGCTCCATGCACGGCAGCTCCCCTTTGCACTCAACTTCCATCCCAGACTCTGCATCTCCTCCATTAATATAATGTAAGAGTGTGGCCCTCAACCACTTCCCAAAATCTTGCAGTGGCTCCCCATAAAAAATTATTGCCCACCCCTGCTGTAGACTAATTCCCAGCCCTCAATGGAGCCAGGGTGAGTAAGTTTTCTTTTTGACTAAGTTCAGTGGACTTAATGATTATTGAGAAAAGTATTATTCTACCACTCAGTGTATCCTCCAAAGTTGTAACTGTGCTGAATATCAGACACACCCTAGCTGCATTTAAGAAAAAACTGCAGTTGGAAATGTCTTTTAGCATGACTTCATACTTTCTGGGTGTATATAAATTTAAATTCTTGAACATTATAGGTTTTTTATTCAGGACATTACAAAGATTCAGCTACAGAAAAATGTCCATAAACTGGCAAAACATCCCTCCCACTAGTGAACATTACCAGGGCTCGACAAACTATAAAATCTACTCACCCGTGGTGAGTAGATATCAGCCGCGCACCCCATTCATTTGCGGCATGCACATGCGCAATATGGCTATTGCGCATGCGCAGTATGGGGCTGGCGAGCAGTTTTTGCCGTCATTTGTCAAGCCCTGAACATTACTATTATTTCAACCATGGTTCCTAAATCAAGTCTGTGATGAGAAATATGTATTACTAAGCAAACACTCACAGTAAGAATGTTGTTGTAATCCTCTCCATTTTCTTGGCACTGCTGATAGATATATTCTACTCCTAGGAATATGTCACCGAGATTATATTCATCTCGGAAACTAGGCTGCGGCAGCTCACCTGCTTTCAGATTCTGAAATACATAAGTCCCTCCAAAAGTTAACATGGGTGAGAAACTGGTTATATAGAGTACTTTTTATTCTTAAGGCAGTGGTTTCCAATATGGGATCTGTGAGGACACTGCATGGGATCCACAAAGTTTTTAAAAGTAAGGATTGGGCCAACCACAGTGGGCCTGATCCTTGCTTTTCTTTTCCTTTTTTCTCTTCTCCCCTACCCCCCACCCTAGAGCGCAAGGGGGCAGCAGCCATGCACACCAGGACGACTTGCTTTTGATCCCATTCTCCAGAAGCTAAGGGAGTGTGGGGAAAGTGCTTGCATGCTGTGCATGCCTCTCAAACCTGGCTGACGTGAGAGGCATGCCTGGGATGCAAGCACTTTCCCCTCACTCTCTTAGCATCCAGGGAACAGGATCAAAAGCAAGCCATGTCCTCGCATGCATGGCTGCTGTCCCTCTCCTCCCCCTCCATGATCTTGAAGTTCCACCCCGTATCCTCCCGAAGTTCCGCCCTTGAGGAGCTGGCAGCTCCAGTGCTCCCTTTGGCCACAAGAGCCCCATACTCCATGGATGGGCAGGGGATAGAGGGGACAGGAGCTGAGGAAGCAGCATGTGTGAACAGCAGCCAATGGGACTCAAGAAGCTGTGCCCTGCAGTCTGCATGTCACTCAGCCCACGCTGAAGCTGACAAGCTGTGACTGCACTCTGGGGTCAGCATATAAACAGGTCAGTCACATTGTACCATTTTTTTCTCTTATTTGAATACGTCACCCCACTCTAAGCATTCAAAAGCTATTAGAGTGGCAGGAAGGGTTTGTTGGGCCCCAAGCAAAAATGGATGGTGGATCCAATAAAATTTTATTCAATAAAAATATTTGGCACCTCAAAGTTGTTACATTTCAATGTGGACATGCTGTATTATATCTCAATGCTACTATATTGGTTTTGATAACATGAACTATTATACATTCCAAATGATTATCAAGAAATGGAATCATAGAATCCTAGTATACTAGGACTGGAAGGGACCTCTAGAGGTCATCGAGTGCAGTCCCCTGCCCTGATGGCAGGACCCAGTACTGTCTAGACCAGTGGTTCTCAACCATGGGCCATATGGATCCCCAGGAGCCACGCCCTACTTCTAGGGGGCCACATGGAAAAAACGGAACATTAGGTAAATTATGTACCTTTTTTTCCAACTAACAGCGGCTATGAGAGAGGCCGCAGAGGTAAACGAGGCTCAGAAGGGGGCCATAAGCAAAAAAAGTTGAGAAACACTGGTCTTAGACCATCCCTGATAGACATTTATCTAACCTTCTCTTAAATATCTCCAGAGATGGAGATTCAACAACCTCCCGCGGCAATTTATTCCAGTGTTTAACCACCCTGACAGGAACTTTTTCTTAATGTCCAACCTAAACCTTCCTTGCTGCAGCTTAAGCCCATTGCTGCTTCTTCTATCCTCAGAGGCCAGGAAGAACAATTTTTCTTCTTCCTCCTTGTGACAACCTTTTAGATACCAGAAAACCGCTATCATGTCCTCTCTCAATCTTCTCTCTTCCAAACTAAACAAGCCCAATTCTTTCAGTCTTCCTTCATACGTCATGTTCTCTAGACCTTTAATCATTCTCGTTGCTCTTCTCTGGACCTTCTCCGATTTCTCCACATCTTCCTTGAAATGCGGTGCCTAGAACTGGACACAATACTCCAACTGAGGCCTAATCAGCGCAGAGGAGAGCGGAGGAATGACTCTGTGTCTTCTTCACAACACATCTGTTAATGCATCCTAGAATTATGTTTGCTTATTTTGCAACAGGGTCATACTGTTGACTCATGTTTAGTTTGTGGTCCACTATAACCCCTTTCTGCCATATTCTTTCCTAGACAGTCACTTCCCATCCTTTATGTGTGAAACGGATTGTTTCTTCCTAAGAGGAGCACTTTGCATTTGTCCTTATTAAACTTCATCCTGTTTACCTCAGACCATTTCTCCAATTTGGCCAGATCATTTTGAATTATGACCCTAACCTCCAAAGCAGTTGCAACCCCTCCCAGCTTGGTATCATCTGCAAACTTATTAAGTGTACTCTCTATGCCGATATCTAAATGGTTGATGAAAATATTAAATGGAACTGGTCCCAAACAGACCTCTGCAGAACCCCACTTGTTATGCCTTTCCAGCAGGATTGTGAACTGTTAATAACTACTCTCTGAGAATGGTGATCCAACCAGTTATGCACCCACCTTATAGTAGCCCCATCTAAGTTGTATTTGTCTAGTTTATTGATAAGAACATCATGCGAGACCGTATCAAATGCCTTACTAAAGTCTAAGTATACCACATCCATCGCTTCTCCCTTATCAACAAGACTCCTTATCCTATCAAAGAAAGCTATCAGATTGGTTTGACAGGATTTGTTCTTTACAAATCTATGCTGGCTGTTCCCTATCACCTTATTATCTTCCAGATGTTTGCAGATGATTTCCTTAATTCCTTGCTCCATTATCTTTCCTGGCACAGAAGTTAAACTGACTGGTCTGTAGTTTCCTGAGTTGTTCTTATTTCCCTTTTATAGATGGGCACTATATTTGCCCTTTTCCAGTCTTCTGGGAATCAATCCTGTCTTCCATAATTTTCCAAAAATGACAGCTAAAGGTTCAGACACCTCCTCTATCAGCTCCCTGAATATTGTAGGATGCATTTCATCAGGCCCAGGTGACTCAGACATCCTATCAGAATGTTTCATTCATAACTTCCATTTGCTTTTGCCCCCATGACCCACTTTTGAACAAAGCCCATCAGCTTGTGAGCAAACTCCACATATGTACACTCACTGGACATTTTAAAGCTTCTAAATTTCACCCGGTGAGATTCAGGGGTAACCCTGAACTGTTTAAGTGCATAGTCTTTAAACTGCCCGTAGTCTAATGCTTCCTCCTCTCCCAGATCATTTAAATACCTTCTTGCCTTGCCAGTCTGTCTTACCATCAGGTCAGGCATACGCTGGTGTCACGTTGGAATTTGAGGGAAGCAGCCAGATCATGGCTGCACCCATAGGTGGGGATGTTGGCCCCAAAAATGATATAAAAGGGGGCCATGTGGGGTGTTGAGTGGGAGCTGTTTGCTGATCCTGTGTATGCTATTTATGTGAGTGTATAATGTCTGTGTGTGTAGGTAGGAATCTGTAATCTGTGCGGAAGCTGAATATTTCTCTGAATGTGGTTGAGCATTGGGCAGAGCCTGGCCTATGGACATGCTAATTAGCGAGGCCCTGTGGGACAATGGCACTCGATGGGCCAAGGACATACCTAAAGCATGAGGGCGGAGACCTAAGAGCTGCCAGGAGAGAGAGGCTGAGGGCCAGGTGACCAGCTGCAGCCAAGAAGAGGCCAGGAAGGAGGTATAAAGAGGCCATGTGGGGGACTCTGTTTTGTCTTCAGCTCAGCACTTCATCCCAGAGGCAGCATTGCAGGGATTGAAGAGCCCAAAGGACCTGTGGACCCATCCTGATTCTAGGATGCGCAACAAGAACTTTTAAACCAGCAGCGGTAACATCTCTGCTAGAGCCTGCATCGAGAACTGGGAGATTCGGTGCATGTAATGTATTATTCCTTTAACAGCCTCTCTCTCAGGCTTTTCTTTCTTGTGATAATAAACCTTTAGTTGTTAGATGCTAAAGGATTGGCCCAGCGTGATTTGTGGGTAAGGTCCAAAGGGTAAATTGGCCAGGGATCTGTGGCTGGTTTCTTGGGACCGGACAGAACTTGTTCGGAGTAGATGGGATTGGGTGCTAGGACCCCCCACCTGTGTATGAGGCCCGGGGCCATCTGAGGCACGGATATTGCTGGGATGTCAGAGGGGTTTTGCTCGTGAGGCTTCAGGCAGGCTGCTGAAGCGCTTTGTGGGACTGGTTTATGGCCTGTTCGGAGAGGTCACCAGTCGGGGGGCTGTAAGGAGCCCCGGATTTGAGCAATTCGCCCTGAGCAGACGCCCTCAGCTGTGCCCAGACTCGGCCCGGTCTGTCACAGCTGGTCATCTGGGATCCGGTTCACATGGCCAAAAACTCCTCAATATCCTCATTATTGTTGTAGATGGGACAGATCCTTTCCCAACTCTTGTTCGAAAGTGGGGGTGAGCTTTCTGGTTGTAGTATCTTTTGTTGCTCTTCCAGTATTCGGAGTCGCTTGTAACTTTCCTCTGCCGCCAGCTCTTGCTTTCGCCGTGCGTGGTCTGCCTCTTTTTCTTCCATTCGCCGTGCATGGGCCACTCTCTCCTCTTCCGCTGATGCCTCCTTCTCCTTTCTATGTATCTCGGCCAGGGCCCTCTCATGTTCCAGCTCCATTTTCTTCAATGCCTGCTGCTTTCTAATTTCTTCTGCAACAGCATCCGTGGCATCGGGTGGGAGCCGCTCTCTTGCCCGCTGGTCCTTCTGCAGTAGCAAGATGTCAGCTGCTGCTTAGTAGCTTTCTTCCTAAAGTCAATGCCTCTCTCTGAGCACAAATCCTTCAGAGCCTCTCTGTTCAGACTTTCATACCGTTGCTGACTCATTGCAGTTGCTCTTTAACCAACTAAACTCTTAACACCAAAAATCCACTTTAGACAGCGTGGGGTCCTGATCCAAAGCTCAGTTGACCAAGATCTGTGGATCCTGCCGACTATGCCACTGTGACGGACCGGGCTGGGTCTGAGCACAGGTGAGGGCATCAGCTCAGGGCCAATTGCTCAAATTCAGGGCTCCTTACAACCCCTTACTGGAGGTCCTTCCCAAAGAGGACACAAACCAGTCCCACAGAGCACTTCAGCTCATGAGCAAAACCCCTCTGACATCCCAGCTCTCTCCGTGCCCCAAACAGCCCTTGGCCTAACACACAGGTGAGGGGTTATAGGACCTAATCTCACCTTCCCCGAATGGGTTCTCCAGTCCCAAGAAACCAGCCACAGTTCCCAGATCAATTTATACTCTGGATCTTACCCACAAAATCATGCTGAGTCAACCCTTTAGAATCTAAAAGATTATTATTGAAAGAAAAGCATGAGAGTAAGGTTGTTAAAGGATAATACATTACATGCAACGAATCACCCAGTTCTCGATACAGGCTCATAGCCAGGGCTCGCCAAGCGGTGGAGAGCCCTGCTCACCAGCTGCGCGGTTCTGCAAGCTGCGCATGCACAGATCGCGTGGCGTCGGCTATGCCGTCTTGTAATCTACTCACCACGGGCAAGTAGATTACATGATTTGTAGAGCCCTGCTCACAGCAGAGATGTTATAACTGCTGGCTTAAAAGTCTTTGGTGTACATCCTAGTAAGGATGAGTTCACAGTTCTTTCTGGCTTGTGGTTCCCTGCAAGGCTGCCTCGTGGGTCGAGAGCTGAGCTGAAGACCAAGATGGAGGGTGCCACATGGCACTTATAACCCTCTCCTGGCATCTTCTTGGCTGCAGCAGGTCACCTCGTCCGTGGCCTATCCCTGTGTTCCATGCTGGTAGCCCTTAGGTATCAGTCACATTCCTGAGATGTGTATTTGCACCCAGAGATTCATTGTCTCCTTGCTAATTAGCATAGCCATAGGCTGAGATTTCCTTGCAGAGTACATGTTTATAACTCCACATACAGATATTATACAAGTACCTGAATAGCATACACAGGATCAGTAGAACACAAGCTTTCATGTGACATCTCACATGGCCCCCTTTGTATACACTTTTGGGGCAAACACCCCTCCAGGGGGCAGCATTTATCTAGGTGCTTCCCTTAAAATCCAGTAACATGACAGATGGGCACAGAACTTCTTAAGCAAAATGTATTTAAGTGTGAAAATACAAAATTGTGAGATGGAAATTCCGTGTCCACTGTGCTTGGAAACTGTTGCTTGGATGGGAATTTGAATGTGTCCCACTTTCCTAGGTTTCAGAGCCTCCACATAAACCACAACTTCAAAGCACCACCTTTAGGCTATGTCTACACTCACGGCTTCTTGTGCAAGAACTCTTGCTGAAGAAAACGTCCACACTGCCATGTGCGAGCTGTGCTTTTGCACAAGAGCACCCATGGCAGTGTGGACGCTTTCTTGCGTAAGAAAGCTCTGATGGCCATTTTAGCCATAGGGCTTCCTTGCGCAAGAAATCCCTGTTAAGCGTCTACACTGCCCTCTAGTGCAAGAGCTCCTGCGCAAGACGGCTTACACCTGTCAAAAAAGAGCATAGCTCTTGCTCAAGGAGCCCCCTCTTACCACGCCGTACTGTAAATTTACTTGCGCAAGAGGCAGCAGGCACTGTGGATGCTCTGCAGATTCTTGCGCAAGAATGGCCGTACTTGCGCAAGAAGCTGCGAGTGTAGACAGACTTAAGAGTGTTAGCACAGGCTCTGCTAACCCATGTCTGTTAAATCTGACTGAAATACTACCTTTCACAGGCTGAGTAAAAACACCATCAGAGGCCAAATTTTGCTACAAACAAAAAAATCACCTTTACATCACCAAAACAGCACAAGTACTAAAAACTGTAACTAAATGTAGCAAAAAAGGAGAATTCTTTAGCTAATTATTGATTACTTAGAAAATCTTTTTTTCCACTACTAGGAAACACGGTGTGCAATTATATGGCTGTCTTGTCAGCAGAAATGAAAGGGGAGCCATAAGAGAACTTTAAATGTGGACATTGGTTGTAAAAGTTATATTTCCAAAGCCTTTTTTTCCTATACCTATTACCTGACACTAGCTGAATGGTAGCCTAGACCTTTTTCTTTCTAGAAGCCTTCCATAAGAGAGAGACAGAAAGAAACTGAGTTACCACCAACCAGTTACCTACTCATTACTTTGATATACAGGCAGTCCCCGGGTTACGTACAAGATAGGGACTGTAGGTTTGTTCTTAAGTTGAATCTGTATGTAAGTCGGAACTGGCGTCCAGATTCAGCCGCTGCTGAAACTGATCAGTTTTTTCTTTCTAGAAGCCTTCCATAAGAGAGAGACAGAAAGAAACTGAGTTACCACCAACCAGTTACCTACTCATTACTTTGATATACAGGCAGTCCCCGGGTTACGTACAAGATAGGGACTGTAGGTTTGTTCTTAAGTTGAATCTGTATGTAAGTCGGAACTGGCGTCCAGATTCAGCCGCTGCTGAAACTGATCAGTTTCAACAGCGGCTGAA